CAGTTGCTGCACGCTGCAGGTCAGCTGCCTGAACGAAACATTCTCCAAGAAATTTTTGAACCGCTTTGAAACATTTCTGGCAATATGGCTGAAAAACATATCACAATACAATATATTTATATCGGTTAATATGGATAATTACTGATTTGTTTATTTTGTTTTAAATATCTGAAATACCACCAAACTTTTAACCTTTAGCCACAGTTACCACTCCACGGCGTTCTTTTTATTTTTAAGTAGTTATGAGGCATGGTAGTGAAACTTTTAAATTGCTGATGCAAGTTGTTGTTGCTAGGTAACCAGAGTGAGTCAGTTGATGCCTCTAGCCTTCCCGATAAAGCCATTCCTCTGCCTGAATCCCCCAGAATGCTGTGCGGTTCTAGATCGGAGTTCAGTGAAATTTCTGAAAACTACCGGATGTATTATCTATCAAAACTGATCACGTGTCTATTGTGATATATATTGTTATTGATTTACTGTCCTATGCCCACCTAAACACAGACAGTGGGGAAATTAAAGAAGCGCCTCTCTATAGATTAAGCTAACGCTATTTTATATCTGCAGGTGATAACATATAAGCATAGAGTCTGATAATGCAGCCGATTGTTGCTTTTTCAATAGTCGCAAAACTAAGTAGCCCCAAAAGGTTGAAGCACTCACACACCATCCTGTAACATGTGGGCTATTCTCACTGGTTTTCTGAGTAATAAAAGTATAGAAAGAAAAGGAAGGGACTCACATTCTCCACATTGATGTTCGCTTTTGCACTCGTTTCCATGAACTTGATTCCGTACTCCAGTGCCAGCTGAACAGGTTCAGAGGAAAAAAAGTCAGAAACGATGCAAGGGAAAAAAAAAAAAAGACACCATGACATCCCAGCTATTCTTACTTTCTCTCCTCTGTCTTTGGACACTTGTCGCTTGTCATTGACATCACATTTATTCCCCAGGACCATCCTCTCTACGTCTGAAGAGGCATGCTGCAGGAAAAACAAAATATGGTGAGGTAAATAGGTGCTTACAGTTGTGAAATGTTTCACTACTATAATCTTTGCAGAATATTGGCACCAAGAATCCAAGTGTTTACCTCTTCTATATTCCTTATCCAGTTCTTGATGTTGTCAAAGGACTTCTCGTTGGTAATGTCATACACTAACATGATGCCCTGGAGAAGTCAGAAAAAAAACATTTAGGAAAAAAAAAAAAAAAAAAAAAAGTAAAAACTGATTCCATTTCCTATTTATCTGTTTGCTAGATCCAGTATAATTTCCTGTAATGTTTATCTGACTCATCAAATTAAGACACAGGCATGCAGCTAAGCCTGAACTAAACAAGAGACGAACAAAACACTCCTCATTTTGAGGTGTGTAAAGCGTAAACAAGAACAACATGAGGCGTGTTTCTGAAAAGGTAAAGGATTAACCGCTAGTAGCTAAATGAATGTCGCTGCACCTGTTCAGTTTCAACGCATCATGAGTAAAGATGACAACGCATCTTACCATGGCTCCTCTGTAGTAGGCTGTTGTGATGGTCCTGAACCTCTCTTGTCCCGCTGTGTCCCTACACGCATGAAAAAAAAATAAAAATTCGGGAAAGTTTCCTTTTTTACTGCTGCGGCTTACAAAATTAGATTGCATTAGACGGTTCTCACTGTCATTTGTTTATACACTTGTTAGAGCTGCTGCTGTAAGTAGCCACTTTGTCAATAAAACATAAATAAATAAGCTTATGGTGATAATATGTACTAGGAACTACCTAGAACTAGTATTAAATATTCAGCATTTGTCCATCTCACCATATCTGTAGTTTGATCTTCTTTCCATCTAATTCTATTGTTCTGATTTTGAAGTCAATACCTAAAGAAAAAAGACAAAGAAAATCAAACAAAACCTGAGTGTCTTCATGAAGCAACAAAACTGTGTATGTTGTTTAGGAAATAACCCAAGATTAGAGTACTGAAGTATCATTTTTGGAACATCACACTTTAAAAACAACGTTTAGTTACTGCATTTTAAACGTCCATCCATCAATCAGCTACATCCACTCATCCATGTGGGGACTGATGCCGCTTAAAAAAAGGTTAAGTTCTAATAATTTTGAAATTTTGAATGCGTTTCTTTGTTACGAAGGTTTTATGTCGACTTGCCCAACCTCCTTTATTAAACATAGGGCTTTTAATTGTACTGGCATGGCAAAAAAGCCACCAATAGATCTAACTATGAGGTGCCACAGTCATATCTGTAGTTGGCATACTTTGTCCAACACATGGACACCAATGAGTGACGATATTAAATATCATGACATCTTGCAACTGGATTCAGAAGTGTCTTTTACATTAGAAAGGTAATATATGCCTTTTATGTCAATCACAATATGTACTATTTATGGTGTAATTGTTTATTAGTTAGGGATATATTGTATATACATTTGTATTTTATTATAATTCCTTTATTTTATATAGAATTTAAAACTAATGCTGATTAAAATAATAAAAAAATAATCACTGATCAGAAAAAGCCTGATCAGTGCATCACTATATTTTCTTTTCTTTTTGGGTGGAATACCCAAAGAGTTTATTCAAGTAAAATAACACTACAACAAATTTTGATTCAAATAAATGTAATTATTGTCCTATAGAGGCAACTCTATTCGTTTGTTTGCACAAACTGCGTGGCTAACCCGGATTACAAATAGAAACCGGTCGTTGTGGTTAATTACGGTACATTTTACAAGTTGCGCTAATGCTTATTGGTGTGATAATAATCGTTCGTTAAAACACAGTAAAATAAGCCAAACCGAATGGCCTTCATGGGTGATCTTTGGATAAATATTCGTGATGGTCAGATTAATGGAGACTTTTTTTATTGCGTTGTCAACAACAGATCGAAGTACAGGCCAGCTGGTCAGAAGGGAAATGACACTGCCAACTAACTTGCTTTAGCCTTTTAGCACGTTACCTCAGCTGTCAACGTCTGTGTAGCCTATAAAATAACTACAACGGGCTCAAAATGTACACAAATCAGTGATATCCGTGCTTACAAAGCATTCAAGTCAGGTTAAAAATCAGTGAAGGTCTCCTAAAGACCCCTCTCTCAAGCCGGTTGGGCATTTCCTGAATCGCTGAATGCTAGCAAGAAAAGTTAGCACCAACTTAGCATGACGGGATGGGCAGCTCCGGTGCCGCTTTTCAGTCAGCTGAGGCGTTAATGATGTGAGCTCCACTCACCTATAGTTGAGATAAACGTTGAGTTGAAGGCATCTTCTGAAAATCTGAAAAGCACACAGGTTTTCCCGACTCCCGAATCACCGATTAAAAGTAGTTTAAACAAGTAATCGTAAGTCTTCGCCATGTTATTAGCTAGCTTACTACTGCGGATATCCCGCCCGTTGTGCAGACGGAGAGGTCGCTGCTGCTGCGGGGCGTCCTGTTGGTCAAATCAACTGTCACTCTGCGATGTCGTCGTGGCTCAGGAAGCCTGCTGCCGCCCGGTGGGTGTGCTCGTTTTGGAGACTGTTGCCAACCGGATTTAACTACAGTAAATTTGATATGTTTAACTAAGAACTCGTTCTCCTCAGAAGGATGTGAAAAATGGCGTTGACTGATGTTGCGACGGAAATGAGACAATTCAACACGATCAGTGACAATAAGTCAGAGGCAGCAGGCTAAATTTAGTTTCTCTTTCAAAGAGAAAGGAAGCAACGACTTCACTGGTGATAATACAAATACCAAACATTCAAGGCTTTCTGAAGAAAAGTATTTAAAAGAACTGGAGAAATTACTAGACATGTTAGTAAAACTAGTTATTTGACCTTCAAGAAGTGTAATGAAACAAGTCATCGCATTTTAGTACACAATCTAAATATTTATGCTTATTTGTTAATATTTGTTAATAATATTTTTTTCCAAGTGCAGAAAGATTTTACAATAGCAGAAATTAAATAAAAACAAGAATTGAACAAGCTTGAATTTATTGTGTGTATTTTTATTCCAAAGCATAAAAAATATCAAGACTATGCATTTCCATTAGTCTGTAATTGGCAGTGAAGGTTTTAAAAGTAGCTTGAGCAGACTATCAGCACCTGTTAGGGAATATGATCAACTACAGCTGATTCCATTATGATAATTTATATTTGGTGATGAGCTCCAAATAATATATTATCGTATTTTCTGGCTTGGGAATCTAAAATGTTTAAAAAAAAATCTTCCAGTTAGGAAAAAATATACATTATGATAAAATTTTATTTAAAAAGATAACCTTAAATCTAAATGTGCTTGCATGGTGTTTTAATAATATCTGGCTCAGTTATGTATTTGAGAATGCATTCATAATTTTCACTTTTTATGGATTCAAGAAAATCAACAATAATTTCAAACTTGTTAATCTAGTTCTTGTTTTTAAAAGTCGCTGAAGTTAAATGTTGACACTTTTTTAATCCCAGAACTTAGAATGAATTTAATAAATCATAAAAATTAGACACCCACAACGTGACAATATTTCTGTCCAGGAGAAGTGTTTGCAGGCTGTCCATTTTTCTTCTACCTCATCTGAGATAAATGGGACCTGGAGACAACCCCAGGTATCCTTCTCTCTAACATGAATGGCTCTAAATTGACTTTTCATGTGTCTATTCATCTCACTCCCCATTCTACCATCATCCTAGAACAAGACAAAACAAATAACAGAACAAATAATATTTAAACCCCCTTGCCTGAGGCAAAGACAGACCCCTGACTCAATGGCAGCATTTTTTTCTGGTTGAAAAACATGAACTTTTCATTGGGCGCAGTGCATACTGAAGGTCATCACTTGAAGATGCCACCAGAACCACAACTTCTGTAAAAGTCTAATGTAGGCATTAAAATTAGACATCTCTTCACAACGTTACCTTGACAACCTGCCCATAAACACCACAGTCAACATCAGAGACAAGTAGCAGCATTGATGGAGACCATAAAAAGCTAAAAAAAAAAAAAAAAGAGGCTATTGCTTTTGTTATACAAGGACTATAGACTTCAAAACTCTCCCTCATAGCTCAGACTCCTGTACCCCCAAATACACAAATGGGTCTGTGTAAGGTCCCCAACACACATATGGACTGGGCAATTATGACAGTATTCTCCTATGCAGTGTTCTTTTGGCATCTCCATTTATTGTTTTGATTTTAACCAACCCAGATTATAGTTCATCCATAGCCCCTCCCCTGCACAGACAGATCTGCCTCTGCTCAGCCTCCTTCAGCACCAAACCTCAGAGTTGTGAAGGAGCAGGTGAATCACAGAGCAGATTACTCTCACTTCAACTCTTCTCTTCTGTATTGGACAAAACATCTGGGCTGATTTCAATAATCATGTCTGTAAGTAAATATGTATCCAGTTTTATCTGTTTTCTTACTAGTTTTAATATGTTTTACAGTTTAGTTTTCACTGATGGAATATCGCTGCATAAATATTAATATATATGAACATATTTTGATGACAGGCAGATGTAAAGTGACAGTATAAGTTAAAGATTTTTGCTTGTATTGTATTAGGCTATTTTTCAAAGATATGCAGTCATATCATATGTGTCGTTCCTATGCCTGCTACAAAAGGTTTAGAAACTTGTCTGGACATGTTTCTTTGCTTCAACTAGCAATTCATTCATCAGACTGTAGAGGGCAGTAAACTTCAAATATCTTGGGATCCTGTTCAGTTGCCACAAATCTCACCTCAGGATGTTAAATCAGTTGTAAAGACCATCATTTGGGAATGCTCTGCTGAACTTTTCAGCTGGCAAAGGACTTGTTGTACCCCAGTCTTGCAGACGAGAGGAGGAAACACAAGAAGAAGAGGCTGGTGCAGAACCCCAACTCCTACTTCATGGATGTCAAATGCATAGGTAACCACCTCCCCAAAGCCCACTGTCTGTCACACAACAAATCTCACAGATTAGTAATATTCTTCTTCAACGTTATTAGGCTGCTACAGGATCTCCACCATCTTCAGCCATGCCCACACAGTGGTGGCCTGCCCCGGCTGCTCTGTGATCCTCTGCAGGCCACGAGGAGGGAAATGCAGACTGACAGCAGGTGGGTGCAGTGTGCCACAAACTGGTCCTTACAATAAGGCACATCAGTTCAGTTTTTTTAAATCTCTGGGGGTTAACATTATTTTGTTCTCCATTTAGGTTGTGCCTTCAGGAAGAAATGTTCCTGAGATGCAATTTGCCAGGACATCCACTAGGAGGCAGCAGAAGGGACCATGAAAAGAGCTGAGCCACTCCGTGTGGCTTAATAGAGACATCACCTCTATACTATCTGCAACTTGTAATTTCGGGGTAATTTGACCCTCTTGTGGGTTTTAATGACGACGCGAACAGAGGACCACGCTTGTACACTCCATTATGCTCAGTGAAAAATGTGTGAAGGCAATTATAGCATAGAAAACCTCAAAATGCAAAAGGAGTCAAATGAATCAGAACTTCTGTAAAACATTTATTGAGGGCTGAACATGGAGGGGGTGGTAAATGAAACAAAAAGAAAAGGGCCTCAAATCAATTTTTTAGGCCCCCTCCTAGGCCTTGACATAAGCTGAGACCATCACAAAAAAAAAATAATAATAAAATAAAATAAAATAAAATAAAACATTTAAAGATTTAATTGTCTGTGTCATGTGTTCTTTGGTCTTTGCATTTCCCTTGGAAAATAAAGAAGTGGCATAAAAGCAAACAAAAAAAATATTCAGAGTATTATAACTTGTCACATACCTAACATTCTCCTACTATATACAATAGTTATCAATGGTTGATGAGACGTGACTGAGCTCCTGATTTGGGGTAAAGCTCGCTCAAGTGTTCTGATACGGTAGGAAAGGTAGTGCAGCCTTGCTCCGGCTCTCATGATACCCAAATTATAAAGAGGTTTGGCGCACTGTAGATATCCAAAATGTCCTCAAGTTGGTCAGAGCTGCTCTGAAGTTCAGGACTCTGATTAATTGTAAATAAGATTAAAGTGAAGGAGCAGCTTGTGCCTTAATAGTGTGTTTATTACTGAAAACCTTTCCATCAGCCAGGCGACCACGCAGATTAAAACCCAAGCAGATTTAGGAGGATGCGGATCAGACAGGCACAGATTAGTAAAATGTCTTAAATTGCATCCTTCTAAAAACAAACATGTCAGCAACAATCTGCCTGAGCAATTCAACCTGTAGGACTTCCATCAAAAACCCATTTTCTCTGGGTGAATTTATCACAACTCTTTCTAAATAAGTGGTCAAAAATCTTTTTCTAAAGAAATTCCTGCAAATTCAAGTGGGAATAAAAATTAAGCAATGAGAAAGAGGAGGGAAAAAACAACAACAACAAAAAAAAAAACATAACACCAAGGGACAAGCATTAAGTTAATCCTCCCCATTTTATGTGGGGAGAGACGATTTTACAGCTCGAAATGTGGAATGGAGTCGAACGTTTTAATGGAATGTTAATGACGATCTCATCCTCTCCATCTTCTCCTCTCCAGGCGTTTATAAGCTGTTCAGCTCCTGCAGGGTCTGGTCCAGGACTTGGTGCATGCCCAGGTTCTCCTCTTTGGCATGTGATAATTTCTCTGGAAAGAGAACAAAAGTGACACGTTGAGCTCCTAAAAAGCAGATAATGATGCAGCCCAGTCTGCACAGAGCACCGTTTTCCTGGACTGATGTTTTGAATAGGTACTCGGGTTAAGCTGAGTCACATGCAAAAATTTAACCACAACACGGTGCCTGTCATGCATAAAGTGGCTGCTTGACTGTTAGAATATATTATGGCTGTATTAGAGGACTGCAGCGGTGTTTTACTTAAACCAAGCGTCCTAAAGGTCTACAGGGGGCTGCGATTTGTACTAACTCAAACTAAAATTGCAGTAAATATAACAGAAAGCCTCACCTTGTATACATGACTATCATATGTGCTAAATACAACAGAAACCAAATGCCTTGTTATAATAAAATCAGAAAAACTTTTGAACGAGTGTGTTCCAAAAGTATCCACACCACTTAAATGCCGTCATATTTTCGGGTTACAGGTTTCAAATTAGTAAAGTAGGGCATAATTGTGAAGGCCTTGCAGAGTGTTTTTGATTGACACATTCAAATACATAAAAATGGTTTCCACTGCAGCTCTGACTGAATGCTTAGCGTCGTTTGTTGTGCTGGATTATGAGCCTGGCCCCAGTCTTCAGCGTTTCACAGCCTCCAACTTGAAGGATTGTTTTGCACAGTTAGTCCATATTTCCACAAACTCTGACCAGCTTTCCAGTTCCCATCTAGAAAAGCAGCATAATGCTGCCACCGTCGGGGTGTTGTGATCAAGGCAACGTGTGGCGTTAGCTTTCCACCAAACAAGTGTTTTTCTTATGCAAGTATCTTCCCACACATGACTGCAAACGTTAGCTTGTATTCCAATAACACTTTTCTCTCAACACTCATCCAAATTTAGGTAATGCGAGGATATATTCTCCCCACCCAAGCTGGTGATTTCTGCAGATTCAAAGGTACCAGGCTGTCTGATTAATGCTCTTCTTGCCCTGCCAGGCAGTTTGTAGTTGCGCTACATCTGTTTTTGGATGATGGATTGAGATATTTTTTTTAATAACCTAATCTGCTTCAAACTTCTCCATAATTCTCTACCTGGGCTATTGGCTGTTTCTTCAATTAGGCTTGTCCTTATCTGATATTGATATCAACCAAAAAAATAAAAAAATAAAACAGTATTGGTTCATATCAGCCTGCGTCCAATATCTCCGATATGTGCACGCCGATAGAAGCACTCTGGTGCAGCATTTCTACATGAAGACCCACTGGCTAATAAAAAATGGGTCAGTTGTTCTCATGGCTGTCGTTGACTATTTGTCTCTGTTTGAGTAATAGCACTTGATCAAGTGTGGATGTACGGTCCATGCTGATATCACATCGAGTCAATATCGGTATCGACCTATACTAAAAGCTGTAATATCGGTACTCGAAGAGAAAAAGTTGAATCAGGACCGCCCCACCCCCTCCCATTCGTCTTCGTGATGCTTTTTGTTCACCAGTGTTTCTGAGAAACCCTGAGACCTTCACAGAACAGCTGTGTTGATACCGAGATTAAAAGACACACAAGTGGACTCTTTTTATGAATTAAAGGGATGAATGCAAAATGGGCACCATATTTTTCATTAAAAAATTTTTTTCAAATTTTTTCGTATGATTTTGTTTCCACTTCACAATTACGCACTACTTTGGATCGGTCCTTTCACTGAAATCCCAATGAAAAATGTTTGAGGTTTTACTGACAAAAGAAAAAAAAGGGGGGGAGGGAAGTTTATTTTACAGTCGTAACAAAGAACAGAGACAAATGCTGCAAAGTAGGAAATAAAGAGACTTTAATGAAACAGTTGAGCAAAGCAAGATGAGCAAAAGGCACATATGATATGCAGGGAAAAAGCTACACAGAGTGCGACAGAGGAGAGTCGGAGCGAGCAGAAGACGCCTAAAGAGACGTCATGTCATTGAGGGCATGGTCCAGCTCCTCGCTAATGGCCTTGTACTTCAGCTTCTGAGCATACAGCTCGTCTGGAGGTCACAGAGGTCCACAGCCGAGTACAGACAGGTGGCAAGGACAGTAGAAACACAGACAAGCCAAAAGCAGCATGAGAGACAGGAGGAGGCAGGAAGGAGCAGAGAAAATATGGAGAAGACAAGAAGAAAAAAAAATTAGGTCAGGTTTTTACAAAAGAGGTAGAATGATTGGATTAAAAGAATGATGCATGCCTAATTAGGCTAGCAGCCCTCTTTGCCGGGTGAGCTGCGAGCGTTCGAGCTTGCTCTGAGTGTCTCATAAAGCTGCTCCAATAACGCTATAAAGTGAGCTCCCTATGGTTCATCAACTAAATAATGCTGACCTACAAAACATGAAAGCACATACTGTCCTCTTTGCAGCCTCGGAAAAGAGGATCTCTGCAGATTTTGTGGCCAGTTTTTATAGCTTTTGGACATATCATTTTTTTTTTCTTTTCCCCCTCAAAAGGATGTTTCCACTCCGTCAAGATTTCTACCAAAACTGTAGCTGCTTGTATTCAAAATGCATTAACTTGAGCAGCGAACACCAGAATCCGTCTACACGTTACGCAGACTGGTAATGCTTGCATACCTTCCAGGTCGTCGATGGACTTTTCCAGTTTGGCCACTGTTCTCTCTGCAAACTCTGCTCGGGTTTCAGCCTGGATGGAGTTCACACACACACACAAAGTCAGCGAGCCTTGACAAAGTAATCCAGCATGCACCACTGGAAAAGTTTTACACATTCTTTTCTGGGTGTTCTGCAGTTAGAAAATGTCTCCCTTACATAACTCAGCCATAAAAAAGGAACTCATAAACTGCCACAAAAATAAACACGCGTGTATTGTTTTAGTCTTAAGGGATGCGAAGAGGTGAGGAAATATGAGATGACAGTATAATCAGAGAGGAACATCTGGATCTCACCTCCTTCAGTTTGTCAGTCAGAACTTTGATCTCCTCCTCATACTTGTCCTCTTTTTCTGAGTACTGTCAAGGCAGAAAAACAGAAAACTCAGTGGCAGAAATCTAAACATGTCTCCACTTGCTTTCACCTGCAGATTAACTGAGTGTGAACTTTAATTCCTCCTTCTTCAGCTCACTAGACAGGAGAAAGGTTAAGTTCCTTGGAGGCAAATACGTTGGTATGTTCTGGGAACAAACGACTGTGCCGTCAACCATGACGGGCCCCGACTGCGTAAAAGCATAACATATACTGCAACGCAAAGGGGAAGTAGGCCTGCGGTTAACCTGGCATGCTGTCGTACTGCATGCCTGACCTTGGGAGGAAAGTGAAGACAAAAGGGCAGCTGGCATTCGCAGAAACGCCCTGCAGTGTCTTTACCTACAATCTTTGTCTCGTTACAATCACACACATCAATGCGATTCATTAGGATTTCATGCGATAGGCATGATTTTGAACTGTGGATGTTGTTGATCAGCTCTGCGCATCAGCAGGCTGACATTTCTGCTTGTTCATTACGAAATAATCCAAGCACAGTCATTTCAATCCAGCTTTACACTCTAAATTGACTCCTCACAGCATTATGCTGACACTATTTTGCTTCATTTTTAGACCATCAAGTTTTATTTCTGGTTTCATCCAACCAGAGCTGCTTTCCTCTTTGTTCCGTCTATGACTTTCACTTCTTGTAGCTTTTCTTTTTTTTTCCCCCCCAACACTGACTTTTGCCTCATGTCTCTTAAATAAAGCCCAGATTTGAAGATTGCACAACTATTTATCGTGATGTCTACAGATTCTCCCACCTGAGCTCTGAATCTCTGGAGCTCCTCCAGAGTGACAAACGATCGACTAGCCGCTTCTTTGACTGAAGCCATTTTTTCCTCTTCCTTGTCAGCTTGGATATCTGACTAGTTTAGAAAGCTGTGCCTTGGTTTATCCATTTTAAGATGAGCAGACCTAACTGCTGCCTTTCCTTGGTCGTCACGATGCTGTTTGTTCTCTAATGTTCAAATAAATCTGAGGCTTTCACAGATTAGCTGCATGCATAAAAACATCAAATGAAACATGGGTGGATTCTATTTATGCAGTTGGATGGTTTAGATTTCATTTATGGGTATTTGTGGAAAGATTACAGAATGCAATTTTATTAAACAATTAAAATTGTAACCAATTAAGCATCAGAATAATTGATAAGACAACAGATTACTGAAATAATTATTAGTTGCAGCCCTATTTGCCAATAAACCCTAAACCTCAAAGGAGATTATTCACTTTAATCTACTTTCTGTTTGTTATTACATAAAACTCCTTTAAATCACAGTGATGCTCAATGCAGTGGGAATACATTTACAAGTCCCTCCATCTAGGCACTGACAGCACAAAGAAAAATGTCTTGGTGTCTAACTGTATATAAATTACGACTTTTATGGGTTTTCTCTCCACAGGAAACAGAAAAACACATGGTTGTACAAAAAGGAGGACATAGTTATACTAAGCAACTACAGAACTGGTATTAAGCAACACGTTAGTGATGTAATGCAGTTTGTCTGAATTACCATCTACTGAGCCAAGTGTGGCCAAAATGACAGGATCCATGTTCTCAGAGTCGGACCATTTGTTTACTATAATGATTCTTTTATGTATTCAGGCTTTCTAAACTGATACTTTGTGCTGCGATGTTTCACGCCAGCTCTGTCGGATTCCAGATAAAACTCGTTTTTCAATCCGTTGCAAGCTAAAATTGGTTGTGTGAATTTTTAGTTTGCATGTAAAACTTTAGCGTGCAAAAGTGAAGACTCGTCACTTGAACATGTGTGTCTGGTGTTTTCATTGTCGACTCTCACCTTCTCCGCTTGGGCTTCTAAGGATTTCAGGTTGTTGGTCACATTTTTCAACTCCTCCTCCAGATCACCGGCTTTACTGAACAAAAACAATAAATAAATAAATAAATAAAGCAGAAGCACACTTAGCTATAATAGACAACTAAAACATCAACATTAAGACATTCGGTAACGCTTTATTTGATGGGGTGTGCATTAGACTTACATGACACTGTCATAAACATGACATAACACCTGTCATGAAGTGTCATTTGGTAAATAATGACACTTTTCATGCAAAGTTGCTCTAAAAGTTGCATTAAAAGTCCATTAAAAGTGCCAACTTTGCATGATTTTGTAAATTATGATAATTTAATGCAAAGTTGGCATTTTTAAAGACTTTTAATGCAACTTTTAGAGCAACTTTGCATTAAAAGTGTCATTATTTACCAAATGACACTTCATGACAACTGTCGTAAACATTCATAAAGACTTCTTTATGTTCATGACAGGTGTTATGTCATGTTTATGACGGTGTCATGTCAGTCTTATGCACTTCAAATAAAGTGTTAACGACACTTCTAAGTGCACATGCTGTAATTATGTTTTACTGCGCATCTTCGTCTTACCATTCAGCGAGTTCAGCCCTCTCCTCGGCTCTCTCCAGATCCCCCTCCAAGATCACCAGCTTACGAGCCACCTGACACAAACGGGGTACGTTTTATTACAGTTTGGAGTGGGAGGACAGATTTCATTATGCTGCTTACATTTGGGACAGACTACCAAACTTTTTCCACATTAAAGAATAATAATTCTGGGAAAGGTTGTAAGATTTCTGCTTAAACCACCATAACATATACCAACAGGATGTCAAATTGCTTTCTTGGTCAACTTCAGTCATATTCTTCTAGCTGATTCTCACACTTCCTCCTCATGATCATCAGTGAATGTGGTGCTAGTTATTTTTATTTTTAACAGACTGACAGATCCAAGTTGCATTTCACCTGCAGTGTGAAAACCTCACTACTTTATTTGGTCACCAGACAATCACAATCAGATCTGCCGAGTTTAGGCGCAATTTGGAGGTGTGCGCAATTCTCCCCCGACTCTGCACCCTAATCCAGCCTTATTACTTCCTAGATGCAGCAGGAAGCATCTTTACCTCCTCGTATTTACGGTCAGCTTCCTCTGCGATGTGTTTGGCCTCCTTCAGCTGCATCTCCTGGATCTCCATCTTCTCCTCGTCCTTCATCGCTCTGTTCTCGATCACCTTCATCCCTCTGACATGAAGAGAAGACAACAGATCCGTTTTTCAAAACGACTCCTACGTTGATTATTTGCAACATGAAAGCCAGGTGTATAAAGGAAACAAATCTCACCTCTCGCTCTCATCTGCGGCCTTCTCTGCCTCTTCCAGCTTCTGCAGCGCTGTGGCCAACCTCTCCTGGGCCCGGTCCAATTCCTCCTCCACCAGCTGGATCCTACGGTTAAGAGCTGCGACATCACCTTCCGCCTGCAGGACAAGATGGGGAGGAAGAAGAGAACTTTAGTCAGACATTTCTATAAGAAAACGTCCAACCAGTGTCCTGTCACACCAGAAGAAAATGACAGGAAGAGGGCAGAGCGGAAAATTTAAACAAAAGCATGAAGATGATTAGAGTGACTCCGTATCTTTGAAGTCTTGTTTCCTGTCTTTTGTTTGTTTTATTTTGCTCTGAGAATGTTTACTGTGACATTTTCCTCAAGAAATAAATGTTGGTTTCAACACATACTTCATGTCAAAACTCCCAGGCTCAAATTAAAGCATTTGAATGCAAAATTTTTTCTAAGAATTTATGTGAAATATTTCTGAAGTGGCAAAGCTTTCAATATGGAACCTGCAAAAAGTTGTAAAGAAGGGGAAGAATGAATGGACAGACCGTCATATGAATGGATGGATGGATCCCTTAGAATTTGAGAGAAGGAAGAGTCTGGAAACATAAATATCTTTCAATAATTTGTTTTCTTTTTCCATATTTATGGAAAATCTAAATGTATGACCAAACATGAGCATTAGGGAGGATTAATAAGCATCTCAAAGGAGAGCAGCAGTCACCACTGACCAAGTTCCTCATGACTATAACAAGTTTCCACCAAACCACTTCTGTTTTTTAATAAAACAGAAAAATGGCCAAAGAGTTTGCCTATTTTATGCTTTATTTGACATAAAAAAAAGAGACAAAGATGGAGCGCTGCATGGCTCAGTATTAGAGCAGGAACATCCTAAATTAAGGGTAAAGTCCTCAACACAGTTGTCCCTGGTTCAATTCCCTGCCTCATATGCTTCATGTCTTCCCCTCGTCTCTCTGCTCTTCCTCCTGTCTGTGATGCTACGGTTGAATAAAGGCCACTACTGCCATAAAAAAACCTGAAAAAATAATAATAAAATGTCGAGGTCAATCGGCAGCAACTGTACACACGTGCTTAACTTGGCTCTTTCTCACAAAACATCCGTTAAAAGATATTCAAATATATCCACAAGAGCATGACCATGGCGCCATGAGGACAGGAAAATATTCAGCTTTATCATTTAGGCATTTTAATAATTCAACACCAACTGTCTGAATCCAAACAAAGGCAATGCTCAGCTGTAGGTGGACTACAAAAACACCATATGTTAGTGAGCTGCTCTTGTTATGCCAATCAATGAGTTGATAAATAACAGCTGGAACAGCATTGCTGTCTATTGAGCCAAGTGTGACCTGCAACGTAAATCTTCTGTGGCATCTGAATGAAATGCCTAGTAAAACTCAATTTCCGGTGTTGGTGGATGCAGAAGTCGGCCAAGCAGGGAGGGCAAATTAGTTTTTCCCCTCATCTGCTCTCCGTAAACAGAGGAGAAAAGTGGAGGCAAAGGTTCAACTAAACAAGAATCTTCCCTGCCGGAAACAACTATTATCTCCTAGTGATCTGCTTTCAGACTGGACTCTAGAGTCCGCCACGGAGGGCGGACCTTTGAATGGTCACAACCAGTCATTAAACATCACAATTACGTCAAGACAAAGCAGCTGAAGGTGCAGCACAGCAGTTAGTAGGTCAGTGACTCATTAGCCAATCATGAGTCCAGGAGTCAGTTCAACAGTCACAGGCGTTTTGTCACTCAGTTTGCAGGTTGGTGAGTCGTTCTGCAAGGCAATTGCTGAAACTGAAGAGACTCAATGAGGAGGAAAGGAGGAACCGCAAAAAGTGGCTAAGATCTCAGTGAAGAAGAAGAAGAAGAAGAAGAAGCAGCATTCTGTGTTTTTGTGTTCAAAGCTATGCTTTCTTTCATATTCATGTCAGGAAATGAAAGTGTCGCTTTTAGCCTTCTTTTCTACTTATTCTGACTCAAACCAAATAGTCCCCACTAATATTTAAACCATCTCCTCTCTGCATATCGTGCCAAGGGAGGGCCGCTGATACCAGACAGGAAATGCCTGTCAGAGCGTCGTTAGCACACGGGAGGGGAAAGGCACCCCGCTGCAGAATGAATGAACGAGAAATAAACCTCTCAGAGCATCTTGAATTCTCATCAGCGTCCATCGCCACGCCATCCGGAAGGTGAGAAACGTTGCACAGGATTAAACTGCAGCCTGAAACAACAGATCCCGTCATTTCCCGGCGTCCCGAATGAGGCAAGAAGGACGACATGGACAGAAACAAAAAGAACGTCACTCATGAGCTTCAGGTCAGCCATGCTGCCAGCCACAGACACTGAAAGGCTCTGAAAATTGCCAGCCTGTTGCGTTCCTGTCTGTCACCAAGAGTAAGAAAAGAACCACACAAACCAGTTCACACTACAGTGAAAACCTGCCCTTACACATAGTGAAAAAGGTGTAACCTGGTGGCTTATCCGTCATCAGGCTTTCACAAACATGAAAGTGGGGGGTGGGGGGATCCCCTCATGCACACCGACAGCTTTGTGTTAAAATCAAAAGTTTATGTGTGTACTGGGCATATTCTCATGCCTCCAACTCTGTGATGCATGACAATATAGGGGGAAGCCTGAAAGCTCTCAGGGTGCAGCTGTACCTTAAGAAGCTGCTTTCCTGAGTCTTTGCAAAGTGATTTACCAGTAACAAGAGCTAACTGGAACGACCAACCTCACTGCCGTCACTGCTTCAATATGAGGATCTTGGAAAAGGTGGCAGGAAGTTGGCAGCTCACCATTCTTTCATTTCCTCCCTTTGATTGTTCTCTCCTTCAGCGATGCAGAGATCTGGCCACGCCTCTTCCCTTAGCACCCACTTTGCATTCTCCCACAGCAATGGAGTCATTCTGCCTTATAAGGTAAACAAACTCTGGAGAATGCTTGTGGTTGAGTAGGATTGTGACAATAAGCAAAAAATGTCCACACACACACACACACACGCACACAGAGAAAGGTACTCAAAGGACATTAAGGCTGAATCACCATTTCCTAGGGTTATTCCAACACCCTTCCACCCTTTCTTTTAAGAAATACTACTTTAAAAAGAAACAAAGAGGCATACATTAACTACTACATTTTAATAATTGTTTAATTGTGCAAGTTGTATCAATGTTACATTGATACAAGATATAACAGAGCACATTACATTAAATATCACAGTGGGTCTTTGTGCTCTGAAAAATATGCCAAGTGAAAATAGTTACTTTAGCTCTGTTGCTATTCCACAAAACACTGGGACACTTTAACCACTTAGAAAAATATGGCGCAGGTCTACAATTTATGGCTTTAGAGTCTTTCAGCCAGTGAGAAGCAGCACATGGGGGAGCTGCGTTACTCTGTGCTTCACAAAGCCAGAGAAAATGGCAGTACCTCACGTTGCAAGTTAACGTTATGATGGAAAAGTGTTAGCAAAGTGAAACAATAATGTGAAGAAAATTTATAAACCTCGGCACAGGAAAATACCTCAACCTATAGTCCAATCAAAGGTCAGAACCACTCCTTATTCAGGCTCAGAGATAGTTCAAAGTTCACAATGAATCCTGAAATATTTCTTCGCGTTACCCACCTGAATGATCTGCACATTTGATCAACTATTAATTGGGTACAAATATCAAATTACATGTCGAAGGCACTATACGCCCTCCATACTATCATCTTTACACAACAACTTATTTGATATTTTGAGTAAAAGATGAATATAGTTTGATCTCTTCCATCATCTGATTAAATCCTACAGATTTAATTGTTCCTACAACTGCAACCAGGTTATTAAAGTGCAGGAACGCTTCTCAAAAGAAACTCAGAAAACCAGAAAATATAATCTAGAAATTATCCTTCATTACCTGTTCAATAAATGCACCAAACGTAACATTTTCCACCATTCTTAGTCTACAAATGTATGAACCAAGAGCAGTTGTCATTTTAATTTATCAAACTACTCCGATCAAACAAACTGCAACAGAGTTTTTATTCCGAGTTATTTATTATATCCGTTATAAACCTGTAGCCCCATCAGAATAGATCAAAGGAAGCACAAGCTAAACAGGAAACATCGACTCTGACCTGGAGAAGCCTGATCAGTGCATCTCTAATAAAAGGATTAGCAGAAAGTGTAAAGGTGCATCTGTTCATCTTCATGTCACTGGTTCAGATACAGTTCAAAAACAAGCCTGGAAGACATATTACACTGTAGCAGACTGTGTATTACTAAGCTAGTTCTGTAACACTTGATTAAATCTGGATTCTTTGATTTATCTTCTCACTAAGAAACATGCATATAATGCAACTGCTGCAGCTCTAGTGATAATCACATAGAAGAAGCAGGTACACAAGAAAAACAAACATCTCCACTAACAGCAAAAACTATGATTTTAAAGCGATCTTTCTCCAACGTACTTTTTAAGCAGCTGAAAATGTTGCCATAACATGAATGAGTAGCAATGCAAACAACACTGGCTTTTTTCCTGCCATATTCACTACATGGTATCAGGTTAAATGTGAAGTTGCTGTATCATAGCTGAATGTTATGACCATATTTACCACAATTGGCCCACATTTTTCTATCAGTAGTATTTACCCACGAGTTTCTGTGAGCTGTAGCGTCTACCCATGTGCATGGAGTTCAATTAGAAATTAAATAGGTAAATCTACTACTGTCAGGCGGATTGAGTCCATTTCACTTGAAATATGATCTCTAACCAAATATTGCATTCAAGGAGACGACTTGCACTCGCCAATACAATAGTGAGGGAGTGTTTTTTGCGTCATTGTGTTGTTGCTGAGCTTGGTGCGTGACGGCTGAGTAATGGCTTTAGGTAATAGCATACGCAGACAATTTAATCAATAATACCAGCAGGTATTGTCCCGGTCTCGCTCTTTAGATGCATTTTCTTTTGCAAGATAAGCAGTGCTGAAACCTCACCGCATGGAGACGCAGCACAGTTCAGCTCAGAGCGACTTTCTTAATACCTGGGTGCATGTCATGCGCTTCAGTCTGGTTCAAGGACGAATGAAAGAGGAATCCAATTAGCGGGCGATTTCAGGGCAGTGGGTTAATGAGCTGC